TTGCGGTCATCCAGACCCTGAGATAAGGGGGGCACGGTCTATAAAAAATTTTTTCTAGCCTTCGGGCCTCATCTTGGTCTAAAAATGAGGGGGGGGGCCTGGATCTGCCACTGGTCTGATCGAAGTGATTATTTGAAATAGCGACTAATACACTCAACTCTCCCTTAAAAACGGACACCTTTGGGACCATTACTATGTGTCCGTCTTAGAGAGAAGTCCGTCTTATAGAGAGTCAAATAAGGGGTGTAAAGAAAAGCGGGGACCAACTCTAGGTGTCCGTTTTACAGAGGAGTGCGTCTTATAGAGGTGTCCGTTAAGAGAGAGTTGACTGTATTAATAACTTTACTGTAAATGTTAATAATACCGAAAATTAATGCAGCATGCAATTTCTCTTAGGACGGCTGTAATACCCACAAGAAATGGACAACACATAAAATGGAACATAAAACGAAATATAATATTACTCTAATTCAGTCATGGCTGTCAGCAAACAAATTAACTTTGAATGTTAAGAAGACTAAATACATGCTTATAGGGAGTCTATTTAAGTTATCTCAAATACGTAAATAGTGATTTCACAGTCAAAGTTAATAATACACCTTTAGAAAGAGTAATTAAATACAAGTCTCTTGGAGTTCAAACTGATGAATCTTTGAACTGGCGCCCACACATTAATACCATTTCCAAGAAAATATCCGCTGGTCTTGCTATCTTAAAGCGTGTAAGTCACTTTATACCATTTGATACTAAAGTGAATAAGTACAATACACTGGTAATGCCATATTTTAATTAATGTAGTGCTGTATGGGGTAATATAAATAAGGGACTAGCAGACAAACTTCAAAAGATGCAGAGTAGGGCTGCTAGAATTCTCACTTTTTCTAACTATGAGGTTCGCTCAAGTGTTTTGTTGGATGAGCTTGGCTGGGAAAGGTTAGAATATGTAAGACTTCAACAGTTGGCTTTGAAAATGTATACAATCTATGGTGATCTTTCCCCGTCATATCTGAGGCGAATCTTTACCAACACCTCAAACGTACACTCCCAAAATCTTAGAAATTCGGAGTTAAATTACTAGCAATGTCCCCAGATCCAGAACTGAGTCTGCAAAAGGGAGCCTACACTAAAGAGGATCTGTCGTGTGGAACAAGATTGCTTCAGAGATTAGAAACCTGTCTAGTTTAAATGTTTTCAAAACTTTATTTCATGTGAAAGATTATCTTAATTAACTATGACTCATTGTAACTCTTATCATTATAATATAAGTTTTTGTATTTTTAACTTTATAGTCAAGTAGTTTCTTAGCGTAGTTTAGTATAATTTTACACACGATACCTAGGAAGACAATGTAAAATGATACGATTTCGTGAATAAATAAAGATTGATGATGATGATGATGATGATGATGATGGAGTTGGTAGGGAAGGAAAGGGGGGACGTTGGTCAGGGGACGGGGGGGGGGGGG